TCGGTATAGGGGTTGAACGGTTTTCACCTGTACCCTCCTTTGGTGTGCCTTTCCTTGGTTGACTTGATATCCCTGGTTTGACCACCTATCTTCGGTCAGACTAATTACTGAAGAGCCTGTATATATATCTAACCAATTACTTGGTGTGTCTCGAGTTGCGGGAGGGGCTGCAAGGGTTAGTGGGCAGGGCGAGGCCTTTCTGCTTAAAGGATGACATGGGACAGGGAATTGCATAGTATCGTGGTTCTGTTCGGCTACATAGGATTGGTCAATACATTTTCAGTGTTTGCATGTCGTATGATACTCACTCGATCGGCCATGTGATGATGGTCGCGATGGCCACCAGTGGGCGGCAGTTGGTCTGAGACCCAGCTGATGGGGTTTGTGCTTACTGATTGCACTCAGGGTTCGTGCTTTCTGATGTGCACTTGTTTTGATGCAGACGGCGGCTCACGAGATTCGCATGGTAAATGGGCAGTGTTACATAACCTATCTAGCAGGGCACCTCCATCTTATGTTACGCAGGTTAACTTATAGCTTATATGATAGATAATTCCTAAAACTCTACACAAGCTTTGGGTCCTTGTTGTTATGGATGTCGATAATTTCTAAACCTCTACACAAGCTTTGGGTCCTTGTTCTTATGGATGTCGATATAGGGTATATAGCCTATATGGGCCATAGCTTCTTCCTTGCAGGCATCTTATAATAGATGGTTGTTCACTACAGATCGTTGTCGTAGAAAGCTGAGCTGGCCGATCATTTTTTCACGCCATGGATTTGCTTGCTGGTGAGACCAATGCTTTCCTAAAGGGATGCATCGAGGAGCTTGTGAAGGCGGGTGTTTAGAGTTATGAGTCATCGGACGAACACAGATGTGATGCTTCCTAGCCCATGCAGGCACTTGCAAAGCAGAATGCTTTGTGCCAGCGGATCAAAGACACCCATCGATTTCTTCTGTTGAAGTGCCATACCGAACCAGCCATCAATGCAGAGCACATTGGAATGAACAGAGCACTTCGGCCGAATGATATATATAAGACATGTTTAGAAATGCATGCAGCATATAGAGCTACTCAAACCACATGTGCCATCCGCTCAGGAGATCCTTCGGCCGCTTGCCAAGGCCTTTGGCAAGTGCAAGGAGCTGGCCACAAAGCCGATTCTGAAGTTAGTGCTTCATGAACTGAAAGATGCGAAGTCGGCGACTCGCCCAACAAATAAACCTTGCAGTCCTTGGAGAAGTACTCGTTTCTACACTCATCGTTCTTGCTTAACATACTTTGGGCGAGTAGCTTAGGTGATTATCCCGAACAAAGTCGTCGGTTCCACGGCTTCGGTGCTGAAGAAGTTGCTACTTCATACTCGCCGCCTGGCAGAGCGGTCGGAGAACCAACGTGATCCGAAGGTGCAGTCGGTAGTGGGTGCAGTTTGGCAGCACTGGGCCACATTCTTTCATTGTCACTTCTGAGCTGGTGTGCCTTTGCTTTGTGAGCACTACATATAGCACCGAGGCATTGAGGACTGCCCTTTCGAAGGCAAAGTCTACTGACATGGCTCACCGTGCTCCTAGCTTCACGATCCGGTATAAGAATGTTGGCACAAGGAAGCAGAACCAACTGGACTTCAACAAGCCTGAGCTAGACAGGGATGTCAAGAAAGTTCAGGTTTCCTTGGAGGATGATCTGCCAAGGAGTAAGTCCTTGGAACCCAGCCTCCAAAGTCCTACCACTCCTGCGACCCCATCGCCAACCGAATGGGAAACAAAGCTCTCCAAAAGCTTGTCCTTGAAAGCAACATCCGAAGCATCGGCAACAACTACCTTGGACAGCCCCTCTGGACTTTCCGATCCATCCAGTGATAAAGTTTCTGGGCTTGCTGCTGGCGACTTTCGGCCGATGCCGACGGGAGACCTGGCCGCAAACATACTGGCTGTGACATTGGGCATCCGAAGCTTGCACGTATTATGCACAATGACGAAGGCCTGACTGGATCCACTGCAGATGTTCAAGATACTGTCCCCGCGAGCGAATCACAGCTTGAAGCACCCTGGTTTGTACAGATACTCGATTCTTGAGCTCAACTCTAAAGGGGTACTTAACTCTGCACGAATCCGGTTGTTGATTGAAAAGTGTTGCATGTTATGGCTATAAGAGGGATTGTGTATATCTGTGATGTACTCCAGGGTCGATTTGCAGCTTTGTTTCTTGGTGAGTAAAATTTAGTATTTTAGGTGTGTGTGTGTATATATATATAGGCGATTAGCGGTTATTATATATAATTGTGCTTGTTCATCCTTGAGTAGTTTACATGCAATTAGAACATTCAAAAATCGTTTAGATGTCTACAGTGTATGTGGCTAAGCTTATATATAAACTTATGTCGGAGTCCGGTTGCCACACTGGTATCTTAATTTGTTTTATAAGCACCCTAGCGCCAGGGAAGCATGGGCAGCTTTTCGTGGTGTTCGGGCTAGATTGTACAATACATATAGTATATATAAGCTTGGGTCCAGAGTTTGGGGAACCACTGTCAACTAGAGACCCTTTCACTGTACATCCCACTGGCTCTCCTTTCAGGGATTATACCTTATATAAGTTTGTAGACACAACAATGGTTGAGCCAATAAGGGCACTATAGAATACAGATTATATAACGGTTTTGTGTGCCCAAAATACAGGATTGTCGGATATGTGTACACGGTTGGACAACTGAGGCAGCTTGCCTGAGTATCTCCTGCCACGGAGAGGTTCATGAGGCAAGGGATTTATGAGTCCTACACAGCCCATGGGGATCGAAAAAGATGGTGATGTCATTAGTGTTGTCTCCTGAAACCCTATAAACCCTAAACCCTATAAACCCTAAACCCTATAGTCTTGATCTGTTCTGAGAACCCCATGCAGGTTTTTTCTGACAGCGACGGCGACGCCGTCTGCAAGCCTCCTGGTTATGTATTTTCAAAGCAGAGTTGAATGGTGTACGATTTTGCAGACATGTACTGTGTGGCGATACATGTGAGTCGGGGTCTTCTTGGGTGGGAGAGGTTCCCTTTGCCTGAGCCTTTGGAAGAGGACTGCAAGGGCCCAGATTCTGAGCACGGTCATTCTGAAGGATGTCTGTTTATGTGGGTCGTGCTTGCAGGAGAAGGGCTCTCGATCGAGCCCAGCATCTGATCTGCAAGCGAAGGCCTACCTGCTTGCAAAGCTGAAGCAGAAGCTGAAGGATCGTGTGCGAACTTCAATGTCTTCGACATTCGAAGTTTCTGACGAGGAAGCCCCTGCAGCATGCCCCTTGGTTCCCGTCCAGCCTGCAGTGGAAGTTGCCTGGAAGGCCTCAGGGACTCATGAGCATCAGGAGGAGGAGGGCATCGTGCTTACCCGCTCGATGCAGCTTGCTCTAGCTGAATCGAGGAAGAGGAAGCGGAACAAAAAATCTGAGCCTGAGTGTGATGATGATGATGATGAGGGCTGGAAACCTCGAAAGCTTCGACGGGGCTGCTTGAGTAAGCAGTCGTTGGCTCTGGCTCGTAGGAAAAACAAGAAGGCTAAGGCTAAAGCCGGAGCGAAAAAGAAGCCCACGAAGCAAACAAAGGCTGCAGCGGCCAAGTGCAAGGCTTCGGCGAAGCCCAAAGTTAACCCGAAAGCCCGTGCCAAGGGCAAAGCCAAGGCCAAGGCTCAGCCAGGAAAGTCGCGGATCCCTGGCAATGCCACGATTAAAAGGTTTCATGGGCTGAAATTCAAGCAGGCCAAGTGCAAGGATGACAAGAGCTTTGGCGAGGTTCCAAAGGACCAACGGGATATCCTCAAAAAGGAGATTCACGTATCCAAGATGTTGCTTGGTCTTCATAGTTATTCATTCTATGTAGCCACGGCAAAAGCCTAGGGTTTAGCGGTTTAGGGTTTAGGGTTTAGGGTTTATATAGGGTTTAGGGTTTATAGGGTTTAGGGTGATGAGGTTCTACATCATGCCCTACTGGAGCCGGGGTCAGCTTGGTATCAGGGAGGGGACTTACACCGGCACCCAGAAGTTCTCTATGACTGGTGCGAGATCCATGGCTTACAACATTTTGTTGGCGAATACGATCGTGCCTCGACTCTGACAGAAGATTGTAGACCCCCAGAGTATGATGTAGCCGGTCCGATGCCAAAAAACAACTCAACATGCACTGAAACCCTATCCCAGGTCAAATTCTTGGAAGGCTCACCCCACCTCTCGCTGTTCTCCAAAGAGATCAATGCCATAGAGGATGAGCTGGAGACTGCCTGGGACTCCATGTAGAGATGTCTGTGGCTCACCACACATCTTTAATTTA